CACAACTGGTGACTGGTGACGCTTTGGAGTAATATATCCAAGAAATCCTATGTGGGTATCCTCTGTTTTGTCGCTGAGTGTCCCCAGCTTCCGAAATTTAAGTCTCACTCCTAGGCAGGGAAAGGGAAATTTGAGAGCCTGAGTCTCCTTCACCCTAAATGCACAATACGGTGACACGCCTCTCCTTATGGTTCTTCGTACGTAACCATCAGTACCTCTTGTATTACCGCTCCTGGCGATAAATATCTTGGATCCGTACATGACGTGTTGTAATGATATTTTGAGAGATGAGTTATTGGCAAGTTCAACGGGTGTGCCAGCTGGGGCACGGGTGGAGCATAATTAGTTATGCACAGGCGAGTGCCCGCATCGGGCGGTGGTTCTTTAAAGGCGATGGATATGATGATAATCTGGGTTGAGTGAATGCGGGTTTTCGTTTGTCGGAGACGTCCCCGCTCCCCCCAGCGCAATGTTGAGAGCCTCGTCTGATGTTCGATTGCTATGCGATACTTGACAAGTTGCGGTTCCAGGCTAACGAACTTTGTCCGTGGGGGGGTGGGGTGCGTCGTAAGAACCGGTGATTTATCTTGCGAAGGCCTCCACTAGGATCCGCTGGGATTCAAGTTCATGGATTCGAATTACAATCACGTCGGTGGATGAAATTGTCGTCGCGCCATGGCTCCGATGGTGATCCGGGCATGACGGCGGTGTCTTCAAGTGGTGAGTTCGGCTCATACCTGCGGGAGGATTCCAAAAGTAATCCCTCGACAGCGGCAGGATTCGAACCTGCGCGGGCAGAGCCCAGTGGATTTCTAGTCCACCTCCTTAACCACTCGGACACGCTGTCTGCGACGACGCTGAATATCCTAGCACTTCCGATGAAACCTATGTAGGATTGACCGTTAATGTCCTTCTGTTCGCTACAATGCGATAGTCCAAGCAGCTCGAGAATACCTCCGTTTGCTACGAATCCCTGTGACAAAAACGGCTGAGTGCAACGACACCTGGGAGATTCGAACTCCCGCGGGCAGAGCCCAACGGCTTAGCAGGCCGCCGCCTTAACCACTCGGCCAAAGTGTCTAATTGTACTTTGCAATATGAGATCTCAAATCCACCCGCTTGAGAGGTGCTCCACACAACTGGTGACTGGTGACGCTTTGGAGTAATATATCCAAGAAATCCTATGTGGGTATCCTCTGTTTTGTCGCTGAGTGTCCCCAGCTTCCGAAATTTAAGTCTCACTCCTAGGCAGGGAAAGGGAAATTTGAGAGCCTGAGTCTCCTTCACCCTAAATGCACAATACGGTGACACGCCTCTCCTTATGGTTCTTCGTACGTAACCATCAGTACCTCTTGTATTACCGCTCCTGGCGATAAATATCTTGGATCCGTACATGACGTGTTGTAATGATATTTTGAGAGATGAGTTATTGGCAAGTTCAACGGGTGTGCCAGCTGGGGCACGGGTGGAGCATAATTAGTTATGCACAGGCGAGTGCCCGCATCGGGCGGTGGTTCTTTAAAGGCGATGGATATGATGATAATCTGGGTTGAGTGAATGCGGGTTTTCGTTTGTCGGAGACGTCCCCGCTCCCCCCAGCGCAATGTTGAGAGCCTCGTCTGATGTTCGATTGCTATGCGATACTTGACAAGTTGCGGTTCCAGGCTAACGAACTTTGTCCGTGGGGGGGTGGGGTGCGTCGTAAGAACCGGTGATTTATCTTGCGAAGGCCTCCACTAGGATCCGCTGGGATTCAAGTTCATGGATTCGAATTACAATCACGTCGGTGGATGAAATTGTCGTCGCGCCATGGCTCCGATGGTGATCCGGGCATGACGGCGGTGTCTTCAAGTGGTGAGTTCGGCTCATACCTGCGGGAGGATTCCAAAAGTAATCCCTCGACAGCGGCAGGATTCGAACCTGCGCGGGCAGAGCCCAGTGGATTTCTAGTCCACCTCCTTAACCACTCGGACACGCTGTCTGCGACGACGCTGAATATCCTAGCACTTCCGATGAAACCTATGTAGGATTGACCGTTAATGTCCTTCTGTTCGCTACAATGCGATAGTCCAAGCAGCTCGAGAATACCTCCGTTTGCTACGAATCCCTGTGACAAAAACGGCTGAGTGCAACGACACCTGGGAGATTCGAACTCCCGCGGGCAGAGCCCAACGGCTTAGCAGGCCGCCGCCTTAACCACTCGGCCAAAGTGTCTAATTGTACTTTGCAATATGAGATCTCAAATCCACCCGCTTGAGAGGTGCTCCACACAACTGGTGACTGGTGACGCTTTGGAGTAATATATCCAAGAAATCCTATGTGGGTATCCTCTGTTTTGTCGCTGAGTGTCCCCAGCTTCCGAAATTTAAGTCTCACTCCTAGGCAGGGAAAGGGAAATTTGAGAGCCTGAGTCTCCTTCACCCTAAATGCACAATACGGTGACACGCCTCTCCTTATGGTTCTTCGTACGTAACCATCAGTACCTCTTGTATTACCGCTCCTGGCGATAAATATCTTGGATCCGTACATGACGTGTTGTAATGATATTTTGAGAGATGAGTTATTGGCAAGTTCAACGGGTGTGCCAGCTGGGGCACGGGTGGAGCATAATTAGTTATGCACAGGCGAGTGCCCGCATCGGGCGGTGGTTCTTTAAAGGCGATGGATATGATGATAATCTGGGTTGAGTGAATGCGGGTTTTCGTTTGTCGGAGACGTCCCCGCTCCCCCCAGCGCAATGTTGAGAGCCTCGTCTGATGTTCGATTGCTATGCGATACTTGACAAGTTGCGGTTCCAGGCTAACGAACTTTGTCCGTGGGGGGGTGGGTGCGTCGTAAGAACCGGTGATTTATCTTGCGAAGGCCTCCACTAGGATCCGCTGGGACTCGCTCACGTTGAGGTGACCGTCACGTCACCTGGTGACGTGACGTGGATCGTATACGTACCACGTTAATTTTGAGTGTTCGTGTCAAGTTGGAGTAAACCCGTCTACACTGTAGGCTCTACAGGATATCTCACCTATCTAGGATTTCAGTTGCTCCCAGATCTCTGAATGCGTTTCGTACTTGCTATTGCGGCGGTCGTGATTTACATGTTGCAGGGCTGTAACGATTGTGAAGATCGCCAATATTGCACTGCCTGTCCAGATAATTGCTATTATCGCGTTGGATATGGGTGCACCTGCAGATAGCCTCCTATCAGAGATATGTGGCCTTTACATTGTCGCTCATCTACTGGGTGTAAGGAACTCATAATGGTTATCTTTGCATCGTTGGTTTTACTTGCGATCTCCAGGCAATAGTTATGCCCTTCCACATCTTTATGAGCTCTCTGCGCCTCTGTTGAACTTCTGATAGGAGTTAACTCGGGAACCGATGATCGTCACACAGTCTGTCTGTGATAATTTTCTTGAGGCTCGGCAACTCTGCTCTGGTTGTCACTTGTAAGTCGCTATGTCACTTGTCACGCATGAGATAGCAAAATATGTCTGTAATCTGTCCGATATTTGATTCTGATCTGTGACGTTCATTGCGGAGTCTGTATTTCTGGAGCTCGATACATTTCGAGTATCTTACGTACTCCAGGGTTTTCTTCGGATCATGATCTTGGGTCTATTCTGTCTCTACATCTCCGATATGGATGCGAGCCCTAGTAGAGAAAGCGATGTTGAGTTGCACAAGAGTCCATCGTCAATAGCTGCAAATGAGGAGGTTGGGGAGGCGGCCTCCCGGAGGCTAAAACCATCCCGCTACATAGCTGAAGATACACTTCGCTGATACATGAACTGTCTTCAACTCGAGCCTCAACTTGAGCTCAACACTGGAGCTCAAGCTGCACTTCCTTAAGTCTTATTAAGCGCTATATTAGATACGTTGCCATAGCTGCTCGATCCCTTGTGCGCATTCTGACCCCAACACGTGCAGGCCCATAGGGGGCTTGTTTTATATTAGAAACGCGGGCCTTCCGCCCGCTTTCATTCATCAAACGCTCTACCGAACTTATGGGAATCATACCAGGCTGGTAGTACCAGCTTTGGCGGAAGCCTATATGCAATCTGTCTCTAGTTGCATGGTCCGTTGAAGAGCTTGAGTTGGCGTATCAATCTGTGCAGTTTTCGGTCCCAACATATGCAACCGAGTCTCAAGGAGGCACATTTATACTGAGAGAAGTGCCATCTTTTCGATGATAAGCTAATTTCAATCCAACTCATGAATTACGTCTGTACTACAGCTATAGCTACAGGGAGTGACTACTAATCACGTATGAAGTTGTCCACCCTACATCGACTACATCACAGTGCTTATCGAGTTCATGTTGCAGTGAATAGCATACCGATGAGCTCCAGTTCGGTAAGATTGAATAATGCGACAGGACAGGGCGATCTTTGAAACTACTGGTAACTTGGATCTGGAAATGCAATATAACCACAAATTACCATAACTCTATTCCACATAAAACAGCTTCCGGTTTCCCGCAAATAATCTTCCAACTTATGATGAGTATAGCGTAGGAAAACCATCTACAAGAAACTAGAGGAGTTGGATTGCTGATCCTGATCCAAAGAACTCTGCAAATTCTGTGCCATCTCCGCGGAAGCCTTGGTAACGATGGAGTAGGACTCAAACCTGGAATGAACAACATAGTATGATATGAGCACATAGCCACGTTGTCGACTCGGATGTTACATGCGATCCATGCATTTAGCCAAGCATATCTGCTCATTCTTCCCAAGCTGATCAACGAAGCGTCCGCTTTTAGCGATACATTTGTCAAAGCAAGTCTTGCGGGTTTGCTGAAAGACAGAAACTGGACAGAATGTGTCAGGACGTTATGGCGCACTCCCTGAAGCATCTGCACCACCACAGTGTTGATTCCTTGTACGAGGGCCTGCTGCTGTTCTTCGGGGGTAGCGGCATTACCACTGGGAGTTGATGATGCGAAATCCATTAATGAACGGTATCAATGGATATGTACTCAAGTTACTATACGGACAAAGATGGACTAAGAACCACAGGAGTAGATCAACCCAACAATACGGCAAGTGCTATTTGGTGGATTGATACTGGATTGACCGATACCACACCAGTTTGAAGGCGATTTAATGGTTCCCTGTTGTTCGAATGATAATAATAAAGAGACTTTCGGTTAACCAAGCTAACGAGGGTAAAAACACCTTCCACTTGATATGAAGAGGTCAATTTCAACAGCCGATTATTGATTGTGATTGAGAGTATCCTGAGTATGGTGTGAATCGAAGGTAGTTTCACTCTCGGTAACAGCAGCATCAACAGCATCATGGTCAAGTTATAGCTCTTCGGGATTCTCCACCTAGCACAAACCTCTCCAAATTACTCCGCCAACACTATTATTACTATATTCCCATATGCATCGTAAACAGCGGGCTTGTCTATGATCTTGTGTACAGCATTCGACTTGAGGAACCTACAAGTATATATTCCTCGCGTGGTGGTGGTAGCACACAGGGCTTACTCAATGAAGTTTTCTACTGTCCGACGACCATGAAATTCTACTGGCGAATACTTCCTTCCTGATTTAGGAAAGAGTAGAGTACAACTATTGTGCAGTATACTTGTATTACCCGCAGGATAGAGTAGGATAGTTGGAAAAGCATCAACTTTGAAAGACAGCTCATTCTGGGTGGCATCAACCTTCACGATCTTCAACCTAAGTTGATGGGTATCGTAAGCCTTGGCGTAGGATGAATCTAGCAAGGAGCTCACGTGGATCTGAGATGCTTCACCTTCTCTCCAAGAGCTGAATATATGGGGCTGAGTTGGCGGCAGTGACCACACCATGGTGCAAAGAAGTTGACCAGGACGTCTTGCTCATCATTCATGACGATATCATCGAAGTTATCAGCTACGACCTAACAAGCGAACACTCCACCTGCTTAGGATCCTGATACTGTTCAGGTGAAAGACGATGACCACCTGTAGGACTCCTTCGTTCCCCCAGTATTCTGGTACAGGCTCGGACCTTCTGTATGGATGAAGCCTGCCCTCATCAAAATGCCTTACGAGGCTTCGATAATAGCTCTTGTCCAACTTAGTCCTTCTCGAAGATACTGATAATAATAAGAATCATATACAACAGCGAACACCTTATCCAGTCGTACCATCTTCGAGTGGCCTGAACTTCAAAACACTCGAGTCAAAGAATGAGACATGCTTCGCTTCCCGTGACGGATGATACAATATACGAACTATGGGATTCTCCTTGGCATCCCTCTGATAAGGATACGTAATGTGTACAATCCCAAGGGCATTATTATTCTCACAGGATCCACCCCAAGCTCATTCAACAAGTTGTCTATGTGATGTCCACCAGATGTATCACACACCGCGGAGAGTACACTACCTGATAAGAGGATCCAATGACATATCGGCAAGATCGGTACAATGCATTATTACCAGCTAAATCCCTGGAAATCTCTCTGAGGTCAGCTTCCGCCTCCTTGCCTGCCTGAGTATCCTTATCCCGTATGAGATACAGTACTGGCATACCACTTGATAGCAGCTACCACACAAGCATCGTTGATTACGAGTAATGCCAATAATGCACCCACTGTCTCTGCACCTTCAGGAGTATACTCCGTCATTGAAGGCACCCTTCTTGAAAGAATAAATCTGTCGACCTGAGTAATAAGATAACATTGTCATCATAACAATGTAGGATCGACGAGCATTTTGCTCGTACAAGAACTTGCGACAATGATATCTTACCTTATGATATTCCAATTCTCCATGATAGATAGCATGGTGATGATCATGATGATACAGAAGGATAATTGCAGGAAATCCAGGTGGTTTACTGCTTATTTTACTGAAGAATAACAATCCAGTTACACGATGGTGCATAAAGACATTAGTGAGCAGTAGCAAAAGTGTTACTATATACATCTTACCGTCTGTTATATAAATGATCCACTATCTCCACAGCTACTTCACCATATGCCGTAGCGAAGAATACATCGTCAAAGTGCATTGTACTGTGCTTGAAACTACATATTATAGCACACACATTACAGCTTGGGAGCAGCAGGAAATACAATAACTCACAATTCCCCATCTTGTTCTTTGTCGAAAAGACCAATAGCAAGGAAGGGGTTATTCTCGGCAAACTTATCAAGGTCCCCTACGGATTCCATAACATGATTCTTATCAGTGAATCGATTGACCCAGTTGACAACTTTAGCGGCACTGAGGGAAGAACGATCATTCAAGGCATATTTGCAGTACCAGCATATTACTACTACCATTTAGGGTCACCAACATCCATCTCACTAAGGGGAAGTTGATAAGCTTGACTGTCGATGAATAACTTAACCGTCGGATAATATGGTATCTCATGCTTCGAGATCGCCTGAATACAGACTATCAAGTGACGTTCACTTGATGACATACGCATGTTGTTTATAGAGCTCAGCATCATGCAAGTTGTGATACTACAACTGATGCTATTACATTAGGGTATTGTATTCCATCAAGCATACCAAATCTTATAGGAGGATCATGCATGGCGAGCTTCTCGACAGCATTCTCGAAGAAAGGTTTAAACTGATATGTTGTAAGGAAGCGATAGTTGGCATAATGATATACTCACACTTTGGCAATAAGGGCATTGAGGTGCATAAAACATGACCAAAGATACTCCACTCAGAGGTATATCATTATCCAGGTCTGACTCACTCAGTTGTCTGATAGTCTGAAACGGAGGATGGATATATTGGATAGGAATGCTGATAATACTACTCCCTTGCCAGAGTCTCCCCACAGGGACCAAGCCCTCACACTGTGCTGTGCACACTGTTGTAGAAGGAGTAGGATAAAGAGAATCGGCGAGTAGATGGTCACGGACATCATGATAAAATAATGAGACCTGACTCCAGTAGACATCAAGACTGCTTTACAAGGCTATTATCGCAATATCACCAAGATATGACTCTGCTGCTCGAAACGGTACAATACTATAGTAAACGTATACACTAGTTATAAACAGTCGAAGAATATTGCAAACAGGATTATGGTACATGATAGTCGTCGGCAATCCTTACTTAACCAAGCATGATAATAATATGAACCGCCGACGGTTGGGTCTAATAGGATGGGCGGTAATGGTATCGAGGTTGGTCAGAGTGAACTGCTTGGTGTTGATGACCATACTCAGTGTTGGCGATACCAGCCAGAAAGCTGCTGGTATCACCTGGAGTAGGGTGCTCTGAATCAACTCCCTGACGACTCCAAGGAGTGGTACTCTGCCAAGTAGAGTGTGCCTGAGACAACACCAAGATGCGGTGCTGTCGAGATAGATGTCATTTACCATATTAGAGGGCCTATCGATCCCAAAGAATGCATTCATGCTCTCTTCAACATCTATCACCGAGTTCTTGTGTAGGCGCGACAGCTCTGCGGCAAGCTCGACAAACGATGGCCTAATGAGGTTTCTAGTAAGGAAATGATGAAGATGGCGGTGTGCTCAAAGCTACGTCCAGGTCTATGCGGGTATGGATACATCTATCAGCCCATATAGAGCAGTAGCTAAGAATGCATATGGAATGAGAGATATTCTTTAACTTCTACAAGCTATAGATCTCAGATATATACCCCATAGGTGCTGCTCCTAGAAGATAGGGGAAGGCGACAGATATGCTAATGCTGCTGCTGCTGCTGCACTAGGTCTGTGTATTCTATGACTCCCTCGTATTACCTTGTCGCCGGGACATAGCGTAAACTACGCATCATGATGTTTCGTAAAGGCATAGGACAATCATCCATTGGTAATAATGGTCTAGATGGTCCATGATGATGAACTCTATGTCCATATCCCACGATACCTGTATTCATACCATCCATATCGATTATGATGGAGACTCTTGCTAGTATTACCTATGACTTGTAAGGCCGATAAATGAGCGTAAGGTATCATACGATATACCATCTCCCATAGTATCATGCCAAAACTGTATACATCTGCATACTGAGAATACTCCTCTCCACGTAGTATCTATATATATTAGATTAGTATGAGGTTTCCTCATTGAATTGTTGTTGATACCTCTGGAGCCATCCAATGATGAGTACCCACGCATCCCAAAGGTAATCTAGCATCTCTATTGGACTCACCAGTCATGAAGGATAAACCAAAATCACATATCTTCACCTCCCAGCTCTCTGATATAAGTACATTGCTACTCTTAAGATCACAATGCAGTACCTAGTGGGAGAGAATGACTATCCATAGACATGAGTAGTATTATGAGTACCCCATGGGTATGTAAGTAGGACATACCAAGGCATATCTCTCTTCCAATACTCACTACTCGAGGCAGTGACCATCCATCAATATCATGATCTATAAATGGCTCTATCAATGCTACTATCATTACTACTACCTACTCTTCTTATGGCCGGGATGAGTACGATGTAAGAGGTCGAAAAGAGAGCCACAGGGGACGTATTCAGTCAATAGACTATAACGTGGTGCGAGGGATACTGATATTATAAGGATACTCCACATTAATGCCTTATAGTGTTGTACTTCCTAGTAGTAATGTTATGT